AGTCACTTCCTTCTCCGTGGGTACACAGTTGCACATTGTTAATTGTAGCTCTAAGTAGTGTACTACTCTTATCATACTAGATACAGGCTGTCTCTATTAAATATATGCTAGGGGTGACAGAAAATATTTATAACTCTAGGCCCAAATATTATTGTGTGATACATTTATGTCATAGTTTCTGGGCCTCATGCCATCAATTTTGCAAAATATATAGCTTCTTTTGCTTTTTCAACAAAGGAGGTGAATGATTAGGAGGTAGGTGCGAGTGTTAAATCTTAAGGAATTAGATTACGAGACACTCCTGTTACCCTAGGACAGCCATTCTGAATAAAGGATTGCTTCTGTAATCCAATCAGTTTGGCTAGCCCTTCGCTCCCCAGTGTAGTTGATTTTAGTCATAATAATACCTTTCTTTTTTCTAGTCAGCTGTTTATTTTCTCTGTTAGCTTTCCACAGACTTTAAACTGACAGCCAGTGGAAAATCGCAAAGGTCAGATAAAAATAGAATTATATTTCCTTTGCCTCTCACAGGACAGCAATTAAACAGGCTCTAGCATTGTTAAAGGACCTTTATAGGTATTAATTTATAGAGCTGGTTTTTATCAAAGACATGTCACCAGAAGAGTCAAAGCATGATGGAGATGGCAGTAGAGCCATTTTAAGTTACCTGGATCGTGCCAAAATGTTTGGGAGCATATTTACTTAAAGTGGTACAGAAACAATAGCGAAGTCAGTCCATAGAATTAATAGTATGTTGCTTCCGATGAGTAAAAAGACGTGCTATAGAATATTAAGAAGAGATTGGTCCTAGCTCTAAAAAAGGGCATATAATGACTCTGTTCTACGTACAGCAAATAATGAAGAGATGCTGTCTGTTTTAAGATAGCAAAATTTGAAACAGAAGAAATTAAGTGTATGTCCTTGAAGTAAAGCATCCCTAACCTCTGTGGGAAAATGCACAGTAGAAATGAATGAATGTGAAGAAAGAAATGTAAAAGATGGTAAACATTCTTGATTTGTGCCTGGT